TACAGAAAGATAAAGGAAAATGATGAAGGCACTGTTCATGATTTGATCAACCAATTAAAATCCAACAGAGAGTCACGCGTAGATCTTTACGGCGTAAGACCACTTAGAGTGTATTTGCTTTTATATTTATAATCAATAATTAATTTAAAGAAAATTTGACTTTTTGATTATGTTTGATATAATTAATACGAATTGATTGCAAAAATTGGTTGGTTTCATCATGCATCCATCAACTTGACGTAATGGCTATTCCACGAGATTAAATCAATCATTTAAGCAAGATTAAGATCTTGATTGGAAGTTCAATTAACTAATCAATAAATTACATTGTTAAGTAATTAAATGAGGTTTGGCTCATTGAAAGGTTGATTTTAAGTGGAAAATAACAATTGAAGAACTAATTGTTATTGTTAATAAACTTGAATTAATTAGTTCCGTGAATTTCTTTTTGTCGTTCGGCTAGATTGAAAAATGAGTTTTCGTGTTATCAGAGTTTTCATTCGGATTAAACTTTAAAGAGGCCAATTTTTTTTTATTTTTTTTTTGGTTCACCTTTTTACTATCTTAAATTTTGTACTATGATAATATTTGTTTATGTTAAGTTTATCTTCTCATTATTTTCTTTTACGGCTCAACGCTTAGCATTATAAATATAGTTTATCAAATAATCGTTATGCAACTCAAATTTTAACCCAAAAGCTTCATTTCATATTACATAGAATCCCTTTAGCACTTTGATAAATGGCATGCATGTGCAGTTTAAATCTTTGGGTGCATGCCTTTCTTTAAGAAGTGTGATTAAATGATTGAACAATGAGGTTTTGCATGATAAAGATTAAGAAATTTAGGGTTTGTACTCGTAATTAGGGTTTCTAATCTAATGATGACATATGGTTTGTATAAAAAGAAAAAACTTTCTTGACAACTTTCCCTTCTTTGGGGGTGTTGAGGGAGAGGGGAGGAAGGGTTCCAAGATTGTAATAATACATACAATTTGTTTCCAATTATAAAGAATTTTGCTATCTTAGGATAGTTAAAATTATTGTCGTCAACTAACACTTCTCTTTCCAATCTTTCAGCATCGGACAAGTGTCAAAAACCCAATTTAATATTGACGTTTTAAACTAGAAATTAGGGTTTTTGCAACGACAACTTGACATTGCAAAAGAGTAACAAAGTTGTTGGAAAAAGTATCTACGGTGGATTCTCTATGTTCTTGTTTTCATTCTTAATAGGGTTGGCAGTACATTATTGTAGGGTGTGCTGGCCCACCGGCACACCCTCCAATAGGATAATTCTACTTGTACATTATGTCATCCATAATAATAGCGATGCATATAAAGAATTAAATATACGACATGTTGTGAATCAAATGAAAAATTCAATTGAAGTCTGAAGAGGGATTTATTAAGTAAAGGCTCGACAAATTTTCTGTGCACCCTACTCTTTTCTGTTAGGTATTTAAGTGCATAATGGAATTAAAATAATTCAATACTCAAAATTGGGTCATCATCATGTTTAAATAGAATATGTAATAAGAATTAACCATTTTACGAATTCTATTAGTTGAACACCATAGCTGTCCAAATGTCCAGCCTTTAATTGTAATATGCAGGCAAGAATGAACTTGGAACTTCTCCACCATGCTTGGGATGGCGGCAACTGGAGATTGGATTTTTGGGTGTTAGGCATAGGGTTTTGCCTATTTTCTTTTGCTATCAAAGAATAAAGACAAAGTGTGATCCCAAATCGTAATCCCAAATGCCGAATCATGATAAGCTCAAAAACTAATCAATCTTATCCTAAAACACAATAAATCCAACAATAGTTATTAGGTCCACCCAACAATTGAGTGTGTGACATAATAATTACAATCTCCTATCTAGGTCCAATATCAATTCTAAATTTTTAATTCTTGCCTTTGGTATGTAACCTATTAGGTTTCCATTTACAATGGCTAAATTCTCCAAAACTAGCTATCATGAAAAACAAGATATATTTAGGACCAAAACAAACATAAACATACGAACTAAGGTATTTTAAGATATGTTGTGCGTAATATATATATATATTGTCTTGGTTTATTATAAAGGAGAACAGTTCAAGATTATTTATATCTACAGTGTCACCAAGTAGATCTAATATGTCTATCACCAAGGTTAGTTCAAGAACAAAGACACTTTTACTTAAGCACGACATACATGTTTCTTCTCTAGTGCATTACATTACATTACATATTGACTTATAACATAGATGTTATAATTCACTAGACGAGAAACTAAGTTTTGCACTGCTGTTGAGTTGTTGAACTTATCCACCAAGGGATTTGTGGAATTTCTATGGGTGTTTGGATAACATCCTTTTTTCGATTGGATATGGTTTCGACTATTCCTAGAGCCTGCCAATTAGTTAACCATATACATTTTAATTAATGGTCGAGGATAGCTCCTATATCCTCTATCTTCCCTTGAAAGAAATGAGAAATCTTATTAAAGTCATCACTCGAATTTCGACTATTCCTAGAGCCTGCCAATTAGTTAACCATATACATTTTAATTAATGGTCGAGGATAGCTACTATTTCCTCTATCTTCCCTTGAAAGAAATGAGAAATCTTATTAAAGTCATCACTCGAGTCTTTATCTTTTGGAAAAGAGGAAGGCAGCTCATTTCAGACCTCAGTGGATGCCTTAGAAACTGAACTATTGGAGACCTGGAGGGCCCTATAGAACGACTTCTTTCACATGGAGAAGATTCCGATTTTATATTTTGATTCAATTGTGGGGTATTTTTGGATGTTTGAATTAGACTATGCCCCTGCTTAATAGCCTTTTATTATAGAAAATTATGTTTTGAATAATATTTTTTAGAGAATGTGTGGCCAAAAAGTATAAAAAAAATAAATTTTGAATTTACTTGTGAAATGTTTTATTGTGTGAATGTATGATTGAAAATGAGTATGAGACCCTATCAAAAATAAAAATGAGTATGAGTATGAGAATTAAATTAAATTAAATTAAAGACCACCAAACATGGACAATATATTATTTAAAAGTAACTATTTTAATAGTTTAAGATATTTAAAAATGTGAAGACCAAAATAGTTTTATTGTTTTATTACTCCTTTTTTTACAGTTTTTTTCTTAACAAAAAGTTGTATAGTTTCTACTTGTATCTATTGAAACAGTCATGTGTCTATATATTTAATTATTTATATATATGGATAGAGTAATTCCAGCCTTCTATCCATATATAGCACTACAAATATTACAAATATTAGTATGGATTGAGGATGAAAATTATTTCAATTGCGAGAATTCCAATAAAAATATCTTGAGAGACAATTATATGAAGAACTTCAAACATAAAAAAGGGGTCGAATATTGTCTTTAGCACATTGTTCTTTGCACGTCTCTATTTAATAAAAGTCAATATTTTTTATACATGTAACTTTGAATGTTTTGGATTCTAGTCTCTTGTTTATAATATATTAGATTATTAATTGTTTGTGAAATTCCAAAGAGGGAAACAATAAACAAAAATGTAGTTTAACTTGAAATTTAGAAAGTAAAGTGCTAAATTGACAATACTCCATTCTAGTGTTATTTTTGTCAAATTTATTTATTAAACTAGACGCGTTTAGCCATTAGGGTAAACAGAACATGTACCTTTTTTTTTTTTTTTTGGAATGCTACTAGATTTGTTTCAAAATTACATTAATGCTAGATTAAATTCTGTATTTACATTTTTTTTTTTAATTTTATACTATTAGAAATTCTCTTTTTGAATATCATCCCTACCCAACAAATGTAATTGTTACTTTTGAATTTGATTGCGGGTGGACAATCAATTTTTTTGAATTTGAATTTCCCGTCAATTGTTTCTTATAGCTACTGTCAAATGTAATGGTCGATGGATACATTCAAGATTTTAATTCTCTTTTTACATACAGAAGACGTAAAACCCGGTAATTATGCAAAATAATGGCTAATTGAACTAATTTGTGTTTTTTCCATGTAAAAATTAGAAAGTGGCAAAAAAAAAAAAAAAATTGATTTTTCATCTAAAGACCCCAACAATTATCTCAAGATAATCTGAAAATCAAAATAGGAAAGCCCACCCAATGCTCTTGAATCCGTTTGTAAGAGGTACCCCCAAATTATTTTTCTAAGGAAGTTTTAAACAAGAGGGAAACATGCCAAGTCACCAAAGAGTCTAATCTTATCTAGTAATCACTAATTATTATATGATTGATATTTGAATAATCACTTGGGTTGATTGCTACATATATATATTATCAAATAGCACCTATTCATGACATATATGAAGACAAAGTTTAATAAAAGAAATTTTGAATTATACAAAATTAGTAAGTAAACGACAAATCAAGGGATATTTGTACATGGAATCTAAGAAAATCGAGATTACATGTAGTTTGTTCTTAGAAGACTCGTGGAGTCAAGATTGTATAAGAATTACATTTCAAAAATAACAAATTTTAAAAATCTTTTCAAAAATCAGGTGTTAAATCAATTAATTAAATATTTTTAATTATAATATAATATAATTACCCAAATTTATTAAATTTCAAATCCAAATCATTCTCTCTCTCTATCTCTCTCCTCTCCCTACCCCTTCTCTCCATCGGAGGCTGCCATCTACTCCGACGGCCGCTCCAGCAGTCGCTCCGACGACTATTCCGAAGATCACCTCGACGATCAAATTGAAGTCGAAAGTTGTTGAAATTGTAGTCTCCTATATCCAGTACTAACTAGCTGAACAAAAACTTCATTTAGTTAAATGCAACAGCAGCATTCAAGCTTCTAATCAAACAGTTGTATACTTTGGGGCTCCAGCAATTGAAGATCAAAATTCCTAATTTCAGAAGTTAAAAAGTAAAAAATTCAAACATTAGAACAAAATCAACATAACAAAAGGGGAGGGCTGATTAGCTGCGGAATCCACAAGGACGAGTTATCAAAAGAAAATTGAATTCACCTCATGGCTAAAAAGCAATTAGCTGACTTGGTTCGTCGATTCGGGGTCAAGAATTGCGACAGAGGCAAAGTAGCCATGGGTGACTAGTTTAGACTCTAGGGCTCGAATCAAACCTCAACAGGTGCTAACTGCTGTCATATAGAACTTCACAGGCACTGGTGGCGAAGCAGCTGTGGATTTACAGGGACAAAGATGGTTGTGTCGGGGCGAAGCAGCTACAAGAGGCTTCTGGGTTTGGAAATTTACGGGGGGTAGGGGTGATGAAATAAGTATATTTAAAATTTTATTAATTACAATTAATAATCATAGTTATCACCTGAATTTTGAAATTTAAACCTTCTCCCCTTATTTTTGAAATGTTAACTTAAAAACTAGGGTTTAAGGTAATTTTCTCTAACATTTATACACAGTTAATTACATATGTCGGCCTATCACGGNTTCTCTATTATATACTAGTTGCATTGATGGATTACTATCTAGACAAAATCAAGCACATAATACTTCGTGGCCCATTCTTGATGGTCCAATCATTTTTATTACAATATATTCGTGGGTAAATTTCACAAAAAGGCCACTCGAATCCAAAACTAGTTGGTTCTCAACGAAATGTGTTTAGGCGCAATAGTTGACTAGATATTTAGAGGTAAATCATTGTTTCGATGCAGGCTGCAAGAACGGTACAAAATCTAGGCAAACTCCAAATACTATATATGATCTCAAAATAACAGGAGTCAAAGTCGGCAAGTGAGATAATGGGGGATAAACTTCATTGTCGAGAGTGAAACAACCCAAATAACCAGCTAAGGTCCATAGATAATCGTTTAGTGATATAGGAGGTAAGAGTGAAAAGATTTGTCTAGAAACAGCGATCCTTGAAAGAGTGTGTAATAATTCGCTGATCAAACGCTCTTGTAATTTGATCTCAACCTTTTCGATTTGTGGTAATTTTATCCATATTCAAGTTTTATCGCTCTTCACTTTCCTAACTTCTTGTTTCTTTGCACATGTCGTCCCAATTAGCATAAATTTGTCAAAATATTTTGTTAAAATACTGAAAAAGACATTCTTGCCCTTAATTATAAAAGCCCAATATAGAAGGCAAATGATAAGGCAAAAAAAAATAAAAAATAAATAGAAACTTCTACCTTGTTCACCCACCCCCACTGCCCACTCCTCACCCTCACCCTCCCAAGTCCAAAAACTTGGGTCACCACAACACCAATGTCACGTCTCCATCCTCCTTCGATACCACCATCACCTGAACATCTTTCACCGTCAGCACTCAAACTTCATAGCACCACAAATGTACAAGCTTCAATGAGAGCAAATTAATTAGACAAAACTAATGGGAATGATTCAATCAAACCAAGGAAACACCGCCATAATTTTCAGCCACCGTTCACACACCCCCTCACACAATCTCAAGCTCTACCAAGCCTATGACAGTTATATAAAGATTTCAATTCATTTTACACACCAATGACCAAATCTGCCATAGACCAAACAAGTCTCTTTTTATTTTGCTTTTCTTATATTTAAAGTTAAGGGTAAGAATGTCTTTTTCAGTGTCTTAAAGGAATATATTGGTGGATTCTGTCAACAGGGACAATATGTTCGAGTAAAATAAAAGTCGAGGATGGGATGTTAGGAGGGATAAAAATTGTGCGTGGATGAAGTTGTCACAAAACTGAAAGGTTGGGGACCCAGAGTGAAATATGCCCTGTATTCATTAACCACTTGAGGCAAAACACTAGGGGCAAAACAGGAAATTAATAAAAAAAAGACAAGGAATCCTTGTATGAATCCAAATATCTGAAGACGTCAAAAACTGCTTTTTTCCTTCTTCAATCTTTCAGTCTCTCATCTTCGCATTCTCCTCCTCAACTCCGCGGCGTATATCCGAGGAGTTAAAAAACTCACTTTCCAGATCTTTTCTGTGAACCAACTTTTCACTACTATTCAGGTATGCTCACCTTTTTCATGTATGTGTTTCTGTGAATATATGATGTGGCATTTTTTATTGGGGTTGATTGTTTTGATTATTGATCAGTGCTCTGTGCTTAAATGAGGCCTTTTGTTTCTTGGGTTTTGTCTTAAAAAAAGTTGGTTGATTTGTTTGTGTTAAAGATCTGTGTCGTTAAGCTTAGTGGTAGCAAACGGCTCGGCTCAGGCGAGCCGAGCCTGCTGGCTCGCCAGGCGGCTCGTGGGCTCATCCAAGGCGAGCCACGAGCTCAGGCTCTTGGGTCGTCCAAAACAGTGACCGGTTTCGGTCACTGATTAAATTGCAGTGACCGAAACGTGGGCTCATCCAAGGCGAGCCACGAGCTCAGGCTCTTGGGTCGTCCAAAACAGTGACCGGTTTCGGTCACTGATTAAATTGCAGTGACCGTTTCGGTCACTGCTCAAAGTTCAGTGACCGTTAACTTTAAGAGTGGCCAGAACGGCCATTTTTAATTCCCACACGACATTCCAACAACTCTCACTCCCTACTCTCTAGTCTCTTCTACATTTTACACTTACGCATCAACTATCTTTCAATTCTTGATTTGTTACTTATACATTTCATCAGAATTCACAAATGGATCCATACTCATTTGTTGAAGGCTTGTTCGGTATCGGAGTCAAATCACCTAGAGGTGGCAACGAGCCGAACTTCTGCGCTCGTCCATTTTCCCTTTTTATTTAAAGATAAATTTTTTTTTTTTTGAAAAAAAAAAAGATAAACTCTCCTCCTTTATCCGGGATTGTTATCGGCTACTAAATTTCGAGTAGGCGGAGTTAAAAAAATTGTATAAAAATAACTTGTTACGCGTACAATTTTTTTTAAAAAAATTAAAAGGTATTATAAAATAACAAATTTTGATTAATATGGTTAAATTAAATATCATTTACTTGACGACATACAATTTTAGTATATTTATCTTGCAATAAAAAATGACCATCTTGCATGTACTTCACGCACATTAATGTTTCCAAAATATCTTCTTTCAGTCTGACCTCGGATAGAATCCTCTTATCTACACTAAAAGCAGACTCCGAAACTACAGTGCTAACCGGGGGTGTTAATAGGTCTTTTGTCATTGCATAAATCACTAGTCATCGTTATTAGTACTTTCGCCAGAATTCAATTATTTCTTCTGAATTTTTCTTAATTGTTTTGTTATTTAGCATATTGTGATTAAATTAATCAATTAATTCATCGGCAATGCATTTGGACTTGCGTCCGATGTTTGATTACATGCGGTAGACAAATTACTACTAAAGGAACCACATGCATTTGCATCATATTTATATGAGTTAATGCATTCAAATAAAATTACTATTTCAACGTTATTTTCAGCATATCAGTGGGAGGAGTAGGTGCAGAGGGTACCCGATTAATATTTGCACTCATTCATTCTGCTTATAATTCATACATTTCACATAAAATTTGTTCTAAATTTCTACAAGTGATAGGTGTATTAAAAGTTAAAATTCTTGAAATCTGATCAATTACAAAATCCTTTATCCGGGATTGTTATCGGCTACTAAATTTCGGACAGAATCCTCTTATCTACACTAAAAGCAGACTCCGAAACTACAGTGCTAATCGGGGGTGTTAATAGGTCTTTTGTCATTGCATAAATCACTAGTCATCGTTACTAGTACTTTCGCCAGAATTCAATTATTTCTTCTGAATTTTTCTTAATTGTTTTGTTATTTGGCATATTGTGATTAAATTAATCAATTAATTCATCGGCAATGCATTTGGACTTGCGTCCGATGTTTGATTACATGCGGTAGACAAATTACTACTAAAGGAACCACATGCATTTGTATCATATCTATATGAGTTAATGCATTCAAATAAAATTACAATTTCAACGTTGTTTTCAGCATATCAGTGGGAGGAGTAGGTGCAAAGGGTACCCGATTAATATTTGCACTCATTCGTTCTGCATATAATTCATACATTTCACATAAAATTTGTTCTAAATTTCTGCAAGTGATAGGTGTATTAAAAGTTAAAATTCTTGAAATCTGATTAATTACAAATTTAGTACCTAATAAATTATATCGGGGGTCCATGATGCATGCTAACGGAATAACATAGGCAAGTCTTTCAATATTTTCTAAACTTCAAATCCGTAGAATATATAATTGCACTAAAATCGGGGCCATTTTTATATATATGAAAAGCCCTCATAATTATATAAAGACGGCCAAGTACCATAATACTATTGGGATAGTAAATTCCAGATAAAATATTTGTAGAATCATAAAAACTTGTCAAAAATTTTTTAATTTTAAAAGCTAAAATCTAATTGGATTCATTCAAAATAGTTTCATTATCGTTTCTAATATGCCTATTGTTATAAAATTCAGTTATTAAATGTTCAAAGCCTGCATGATTTTAATAATAAGTAGAGTTTCATCTATGCCCTACATTACTAATAAATGTTTTCGTATTCGTTATCCCAAATTCGGCACAAAATTCCTTAAATGCTTGTTTTCTACTAGATGAAATCGTGATATATACTATAGCATCTCTAATTTTTTTATTTTCATTCTTAATATGATTCAAACCGTCCTGCACTATTAAATTAAAAATATGGCACACACATCGAATATGAAACAAATAACCACCGAAATCGGGCTGCAGTAATCTGCACAATTTATCGATAACTACCTTATTAACACTAGCATTGTCGAATGTAAATCTTATTAAATTAAAAATATGGCACACACATCGAATATGGAACAAATAACCACCGAAATCGGGCTGCAGTAATCTGCACAATTTATCGATAACTACCTTATTAAAACTAGCATTGTCGAATGTAAATGAACGAATTTTACTCTCGCAATGATGTTCTCTAATAATGTTCATAATATCATTATATATGTTAGCGTTGTGAGGGAACTCAATAATTTAAAAGTAATAATTTTTTTATGCATACACCAAAGTGGGTCTATTAGCGTGCAGTTGCAACTATATAACCTCTTTTATTAATCTATTCCCATATATCCGAAGTTAAAGATATAACACCCCCATATTTTTCTAAATCGGTAATCAATAGTTTCTTTGTATAAAGGAAATATTCTATTGTATCCGAACGAAGAGTGTTTCGACTTATCCGAACATACTTCGGTTGAAAATATTCTTTCACGTACGAGACGAAATGTTGGTTGTCCGCTATTATTAGAGGCAATTCAGCAACGGCAACGAATTTTACCATTCTCGTTCGAGCTTTCTCCTCCGAATACATCCACGTAGAAAGTGGAGTAATGGTAGAACCGGTGTCTGGACTACCAAATTGCAGCTGCATTTGACCGGCAGGAAGAAGCCTATGTTTGGCCGCACATGCTTTGTAGTGACGGTTGAGGTGGGTGGTTCCAATTTCTTTTTGCCATGCCAATCGTTGTTGACAATATTTACATATTGCTTTAGATTCTGCAACTCCATCGATCACACTGTAGTTTCGGAGTCTGCTTTTAGTGCAAGTAAGATGGTTTTGTCCGAGGTCAGGAGCCAACTAAATAAAGATATTTTGGAAGTATTAATGTGTGTGAATGAGTTATTTTTATGTAGCCAATGCTGTAAATGTATAAAAGCAGAGTCGGCATATTGTGTCGACTTTAGATGCCTTCTTTAAAGGGCATTGTATGATAGATTCTTTCACGTACGAGACGAAATGTTAGTTGTCCGCTATTATTAGAGGCAATTCAGCAACAGCAACGAATTTCACCATTCCCGTTCGAGCTTTCTCCTTCGAATACATCCACGTAGAAAGTAGCGTAATGGTAGAACCGGTGTCTGGACTACCAAATCGCAGCTGCATTTGACCGGCAGCAAGAAGCCTATGTTTGGCTGCACATGCTTTGTAGTGGCGGTTGAGGTGGGTGGTTCCAATTTCTTTTTGCCACGCCAATCGTTGTTGACAATATTTACATATTGCTTTAGATTATGCAACTCCATCGATAGCACTGTAGTTTCGGAGTCTGCTTTTAGTACAAGTAAGATGGTTTAGTCCGAGGTCAGGAGCCAACTAAATAAAGATATTTTGGAAGCATTAATGTGTGTGAAGGAGTCATTTTTATGTAGCCAATGCTGTAAATGTATAAAAGCAGAGACGGCATATTGTGTCGACTTTAGATGCAAAGAAATTTCCCGTAACATACTATCTTTCTGAACCTGGTCTTTGTTATTGTGTAATCCGAAACTTTTAACTGTTTATGAGTTTTACTGCAATTTAATTCCACTTGCTTGAGTCAGCTGTGTTGCTTTATTCTATTGTTTAGTTAACTCAACAACTCCAACAATTTATTGGGCCCAGCGTACGCAATACTTTGACCGCACTTGAATTCATTTACCTCGTAGCCACCTTTGATGCGCTACCGATGAGTTGATTTTCAAAAACTTCTACTAAATTTATGGTAGTAGCGTGTCAAACTTTTTGCCCTTTTAGCACCTTCAGCTTTTGAAATGCGCATTGAAAGGATCTAGAGCAATATTAAAATGTGTTATATATTTTGCTCAATGTGTGATCACTAATATATTTTGAGGTACTTGAATCGGAAACAAAATATTGATTGTGTTCTCTTTAAGAAGTCGAAAAGAACGAAAGATGAATATCGAATTCGTCTGAATGCGTCAATTGATTGCGTTCGATTGCTTCTACAAAAATATATTTTGAGGTACTTGAATCACTGCATTTTGTTCTTCGTCCTCTTGAAATTTGGCTTTTGATTTCCATTATAACCTGTCCCTGTTAAGCTGATAGTGTGTTTAGAATTGCCCTTGTTAAGCTATTTTTTTATTTGTTTCTTATGTAGTTATGGCTGGAATGTCAACTGAAGGCTCTCAATTTGATGCTAAACAGTATGATAGCAAAATGAATGACTTGTAAGTTCCTTTTTAATCATCTACTTATTAGTTTACTAAGAATTAGGCTTGAGAACATAGTTAGATTTTGCGTTTCTTAATTTAGCCTTGTAGCATTTTTGATTAGGAGGATTGGATATAATATAACTCGACAGTATAAAAAAGAAAAAAGAAACTTAAAATCCCATTTATTATACAATCGAATCCTACATATCAATCATGCACTTAAGGTCTAAGATCAGGTTTTCTCTGTGCTATTTTTCCATGGTGAAGTGATAATGAGGTCTTTTTTGATTTTTATGAATTGATGGGCACAGGCTTGGAACTGATGGAGAGGAATTCTTCACGAGTTATGATGAGGTGCACGAAAGTTTTGATGCTATGGGCTTACAAGAGAATCTTCTGAGGGGCATCTATGCTTATGGTAGACTGACATTATTATTTTATGTGGGTTTTAGGAGCTTTTCTATGTTCATGATTGCTTCATTTCCTATGTTATGTCTGTTCTGTTTTCTAGTTTTTAATGGCATTCTTCTGTCTGTCATATACTTCTTTATTTTATTTTATTTTTTTGGCAACACCATGAGCATGTTTGGCTTCGCTTTAAAAGTTTACTTATAAGCAAATAAGTAAGTTTTAAAATAAATAATTTTTTATTGGTCAAAGTTTGAAATGAGTTAATTGCTTATTTTGAAAATAGTGTAAGAATTACTATCAAAGTAAGTAAATCTTTTAATGTAGGAAAAAAGTTAGTCATCTGAACATGTTACTAAATAAAAGGTTACTTGTTTATCTTAGCCAAACATGCTCTGAATGGAAGAATTCAAGTTTCCTTGCTTTAAAGCTGCGTATTTTCATCATGGCAATGATCTAATATGTCGGTGGTGTACTGATACATGTCTGTGTGGGCAACATCTGGCTTCTACTTCTGATTAATCTTGTTTTATGTGGCAATATAAGGAAGCGGCGCTGCTTTTTATGTTTGTTCAAATGTTAGGGCGTGAAATGAATCAAAGTCTTTTCTTCATTAATGTGAAGGTTTTGAGAAGCCATCTGCAATTCAGCAAAGGGGGATTGTTCCCTTTTGCAAGGGACTTGATGTAATTCAGCAAGCACAATCTGGAACTGGGAAAACCGCAACATTCTGCTCCGGAATCCTCCAGCAGCTCGACTATGGGTTAGTTGAATGCCAGGCTTTGGTTCTTGCACCTACTCGTGAACTTGCACAGCAAATTGAGAAGGTCATGCGAGCACTGGGTGACTATCTCGGGGTTAAGGTTCACGCTTGTGTTGGAGGTACCAGTGTACGTGAAGATCAGCGTATTCTTTCCAGTGGGGTCCATGTTGTAGTAGGTACCCCTGGTCGTGTGTTTGACATGTTACGGAGGCAATCGCTTCGCCCTGACTACATTAAGATGTTTGTGTTGGATGAAGCTGATGAAATGCTTTCAAGAGGTTTTAAGGATCAGGTCTGCCTCTTTTTGTCTTTTCTTTGTTTTGTTACCGATGCTGTAACTTAACAGTCTGCTGAATTGAGGTCATTCCATGCATATTTGCATATTTTTATGAATTTGAGCATGTTTCACATAGCTTAAAAAGTTTACTTATAAGTTTAATAAGTTTTAAACTTAATAATACATTTAAGTTGGAAATAAGAAATTTAACTGTTTTTACTCATAAGTAAGAAAATGTAAAATATCCAGACCTGTGTTTGGAAACAGATATAGCTAGATATGCTTATTTACTGAACGTATTTCTATCTATCCTACTTTGGTTACATCTTTTTCTTCATAATTTACTCTGGACTTGTTTTCCGTTATTTGTTGGCAATTATCATTTGAAACGTTCCAAATTGCCAATCATATATAGTGTAGCTCCCCTGGTTTCAGTTAATGCTTAACAACCATCTAGTTTGAAATTCTCTCCACTGCTGTAATTTTTGTGTGGTACTTGTGTTTGGAATGGTTACCAGCTGTTTTTATGGACTTGACTCTTCCAAGCTAACGTCTGCACTTGATCCTAAATTCCACTGCAAAATCTTTAGTTAAATCAGCCTTCGTCGATTGTCTCGACTAGGCAATCTTTAGTTAAATCAGCCTCCGTCGATTGTCTCGACTAGGCTCTGATACCACTTGTTATGGTAAACTGTTAGAGCGCAGAATTGCTTAAACATAATTTAGCCATGTTCCTTGGAATGCAATATGGTATCTAATGCGGGTTTATTCCTTTCAGATATATGATATTTTCCAGCTGCTGCCACCAAAGATTCAAGTGGGTGTATTCTCTGCCACTATGCCACCAGAGGCTCTTGAAATCACAAGGAAGTTTATGAACAAGCCTGTCAGGATTCTTGTAAAACGCGACGAGCTAACTCTTGAAGGTATCAAGCAATTCTATGTCAATGTGGAAAAGGAGGAATGGAAGCTTGAAACCCTCTGTGATCTTTACGAGACCTTGGCCATCACCCAGAGTGTCATTTTTGTTAATACCCGGCGTAAGGTCGACTGGCTTACCGACAAAATGCGCAGCCGGGATCACACAGTCTCTGCCACCCACGGAGACATGGATCAGAACACGAGAGATATCATTATGCGGGAATTCAGATCCGGCTCTTCACGTGTTCTCATAACCACCGACCTCTTGGCCCGTGGTATAGACGTCCAACAAGTCTCTCTTGTGATTAACTACGATCTGCCGACTCAACCCGAGAATTACCTTCACCGTATTGGACGTAGTGGACGGTTTGGAAGAAAGGGTGTTGCTATCAACTTTGTTACAAAAGACGACGATCGCATGCTTTTCGATATACAAAGGTTCTACAACGTTGTGATTGAGGAGCTGCCCGCCAACGTTGCTGATCTCCTGTAAGCCGATTTTGGTTTGCTGAGGTTTAATATTCCTGTTTTTTAGTAATTTATTGTGTTATTTCTTAGTTCAGTTAAATATGCAACAGACTGATGATTGAGAAATGCAAGTCCCATAATTTGGAAAGGGGACTTCCCATTTCTTAATTTGTTTTCTGTTCTAAACAGCTGTTGAAATTTTTGGTTTGTTTTTATATGTTGTTCGAAATTTCAACAGTTGATTTAACCTAGTATGGTTAAATCAATCAATGTGTGATGTTTCTAATAGAATATGCTTTATGTTTCTTCACCTTTTTAGCTCAAATATATACACATATACATACATAATTCGAATATCAACAACATAGATGCATATATTCAAATGTGCAAATTTACTTAACAAATGCATATATAGTTGGGAATTTACAGCCTAATATGCGGAATCAATACAAGCATAAACAAGTTCTAAGCTCATCTAAACCAATGAACAAGTTCAATATACCCAATCCGAACCACAACATTTACAGCAGTACAGAAATCACAAGAATACTATCCCAGCATACAATGTAATCTAACATTACAATATATAATCAATACATAGCAACTGAAATTAAGCAGGATACTGTCTAACCATGAACTGAAATCAGAACTGAAAATAGAACATCTACTGGACATAATTAAGAGTTAAAAAAGGAAGACAGGAACTTCCCTGTCTTACGTGCAGCTTCCTCTTCGGCCAGTGTTCTTCTTCCTTTGTTTTCGGCTGAAATGTAGGCTCAGGAACAGCTTCCATGTCTTGCAAAATCACCATCCATAGAGAGTAGAGAACCAGCTAGAACAACCANTTTTTATCAAAAACTTTGTCACACGAACTCTTGTATCTTATATAGATTCTGCTACTCAATGGTCGTGACAGTTTTAACTTGCAATATGAAGTCACTCAACTGATCACATGTGGACTGAAAATGTGACGGTCTTGTTATTGTGTGTGCGCAAAATTGAATCAAAATGAACTTCATGCTCATTCTATTGTGCTTGCAGAATTTACACCTGACCTTTGTAGTCTCAAAACCTTTGCAGAATCTACCTTCCATTTTCAATAACAAAGGCACATGCAACAGTGGTGGTGGAGTCACTCAAGGGTCCCAAGTCACCACAAGGTTCATGCATATTATCTCAAAAAAAAAAATTTGTGGAGCTTCTTGAAAATAGATGCATGTTATGATTATTCTATGCAACCTAACCACCATATATTTAGAACCCATTTTTAAATCCTTATCCCCATATACATATTGGTGGGATCACTGTGCCCCTTTTTGGTACGGATGAAATTAAATTTTAGCTGATTCTGATAAAAGTCGGTGAAATCTGTGTTTAAAAAATGATAAAAATCATAGATCTCATAAAATGTGTGGTGGAAAATAATTTTGGGAAAAAATGAATTTCAAGAAATTGGGGTCAAATTGATGCTATATTTGGTTTGACTAGAAAGCATAACCAAATTGATAAAATATGTCTTTATTCACTATATAGAGAAACTTGTATGTTTATATGAAAGAAGATAGTACATTTTTTAGGTGTACAAGGTTGGATGGATTGGCTACATCTAACATCAAACCCAGCTGCGCTCATCTACCAATATCTTAGGACGTAGAGACCTTGGTACGGAACTAAAATTATAATTTAGGATAAATTAAAATTTAGAATTCATTTTATTTTTTTAAAGCCAAGTAAAGTAAAAAATTTAGGGGTCGATTTTATGCCAAACGCTCTGTCACAGGAGCAAGGGGTGAACTACACTTTTACAATATTTAGTTCAAGATTGAATTCAATAAAATTAAACAAAATAATAGTTTCATACGTCATTCTTTTACATATTCTCTTTCCCACATTTAAAAATTAATGTTTTTTTTTTTTACTTTATAAAGGAATTATGACATAGTTTTTAAATTAAAAAAATAAAGAATTATGTAATAATTGTCAAAATAGCAAAAGTACCACACATGATATGTTACATTGAATTATTGATACAAATAATTGTTATCGCAATGCAAATGCGTGGGAACACATCCCCAAACCCAAGTAAATTTTTCTTTTTTAAAAAAAAAAAAAAAAAGTAGAATGAATATTAAAATATAGTACTTCAAAGTAAATTTTAAAGTTGTCGAATTTCTTTTGCATACATGAAATCTAATGAAATTAATTTAGTCGCGTGTTACTATTGCTGAAAGTGATTATGCGGAGAAAAAATTATGAAACAAACCAAATCGAGTGAGAACAAGAGAAGTTCTTATTGTGTAAGGTATTTATTCTATGGTATTATTCATTGGACGTTTTGACGATTAAATAGCATTATGAAGTAGGAGATGACACTGGTTACTATTATCTCTCATTTTAGTACACGGAATCGTGTATCGAAGTCAAAGTTTTTATTATGCGTTTTGATTAAGAGGATTCTATATCAAATAATAGTGCAAAAGACAAAATTTTAATGAAACATCATTTGTATTTGACTAGTCTAACCATTGAATGAATTTAAATATCATTAATGCCAACATTTTCAAAATCAAAAAATTAAACCCCCACTCATTTATTTTCTCATATTGGCAGCTCATCCCACCTACCCCACCCCCACCCCTCACCTCACAAATTCTCTCCAATTCCCTTAATCCCACCTCAACAACTCCTCGAGTCATTCAAGACTCGAAACTTTCTACACCCACAAACCATGGGAGGAGATTACAGATCCAAGTCCTATAGTGATAACAGGATGCAGATAGAAAAATATTATGGACCCCCTCCCACCACCAGGCCTAATGATTTCAGGTCATATACTGCTTCCAATGCGGCGGCGGCACCACCACCATCAAAAATAAATGACTGGAAAATCAAGAAAGGCAGTGGAAAATCTTGGAGTTTCAATGACCCTGAATTCCAGAGGAAGAAAAGGGTGGCTAGTTACAAAGTCTACTCTGCTGAAGGCAAAGTCAAAGGGTCCTTCAAGAAGAGTTTTAGGTGGATTAAATATAAGTACACCCAAGTTGTCTACGGATGGTGGTAAACTGCTAAACTCAATCTTTCATATCTCATGGGATGATTTGCGGTATGTTTCCCGTTCAGAAAAAATAAAAATAAAAGAAAGAAAAGGTACTTTTTTTACGTGCTTATTATTTGAACAGTTTGTTTTTAGAAAGGTCGGAAAAAGCATGATTTCTTAAGGTACAAGGAACAGAGGTGGATTTTCATTATGTGGAAGAACACTTGGTTTCAAATTAATTGTAATTTTCCTATTTTCTTTCTTCTTGGTTCTCACTGCCCTATTTATTTATTTATATGAAATTTTCATGTTTGCTTCGCTATGGAAATTCTATTATTTTATAATTTTGTATATTTCGAGTTTTTCGATATTGTTTAGAATAAGTATTATCAAGTTATTTGTCGAAGTTCAGTACGATGTATTAAACCGTTTTTATTCTATTTGCATCCAATTTCTAGAGACTGTAGCAATAGCCATAAATAGGAGCATTAGGATTTGAATAGCGCGGTGGCAATGATTATTATGTTTGAACATGTTAAGATAAGTAACTTATTTCCATACCTAATCAACAAAAAACAAAATAATATCCATAACTGATATATTTAAATACATTATGTTTTTCAGAGGAAAAAATGAGGGCATTCGATTTTATCAAGAAAAGTACATAAAGGAATTTAGCAAAACCGACTTATATAAAAGTTTAAGTAGTTACTTATGTCTTGTCTTCAACATGCCCTTTCACGTGCATGTAATATTCAAATTTCACGTGCATAATTTCGTAAATTTGTGGCGTAAGATTGAACATCATCTAAAAATTTTAGACAAGGTAGTTCACCTATTTCAGGCACATTGCAAGGTGTTCGCTGGTGTTGCCAAATTGGATAAAATCTTATTCTTATCAAGAGGACATGTTACCTTTTCAAGTTCTTCATCCACAGCTTTGGCTATGTCATTCTTCTGTTCAAAAGCAGGACCCAAGTCCAATCTTGGCACACTTGCCCTGATAACTATATACATTTATTGAGTAAAAAATCAAATAGATTTATCGTCTTAATCTTCACACTTGCATCCTCTTTTCAACATATTATTACGAGAAAGGTATTTTCCATCACATTTCATCCTTTTGTTCTGTCCAAAAGATGCGTGCGCACCCTGGATATTCCGGACGGGTAATTAGGTCCAATCACTATAGAGTGAATTTTGACGTGTTCGCGACGTTGTGACAAATGTATAGTAATCTTGCAAAAGCTATAAAAAGAATTCCCAAATTTCTCTCATTTTCGTTGCTAAGGTGAAAATCTTAGTACTAGTACCGATTTGTACTCCTATTCTTACAGGTTTTATCTTTGGCTTGAATGTAACGAATAATGAGGATTTTATATTGCACTTGAAATTGCGAAAATTATGTTTGATTGTTGCGACATTCGATAAATCATCTTCTTAACGAAATGCAAACTCCAAGATTCAGACTTTTTCACAGTTTATTGTGAAATAAATGTAAAAAAATCGAATCTTATTTATGATAAAATTATTGTTTCAGTTCATCAATTAATTTTGATTATTTTAATTTTTTTTGTCCGGGAAATTGGTTTTGATTCTATATAATAATTGGAGCCATTCAATATTGACTGAACCAAGAAAAAATATATGTTAATTTATTATTATTATTATTATTATTTTTATTTTTTTATTTTTTTGTATGTATACGAAGACTTGAAAACAAGGATTTCTAAGAGAAGGAAATGTACAGCTCAAGAATTTTCATCCAATTCATCCTACTAGTTGAGTTGGACGACTTGGTCAAAATAAACAACTTAAAATTATTTTTAACATGGATGCAAATAATTTCTCCTTACTTTTTGTTTTTACTCAAATAATGTTATTCAATAGTAATTGAGGCAATTCATCAGGACTAAATGTTACAAATATGAAATTCTACTTATAAGTAACTTTTTTTGTAATAAGAAAGTAGAGTTACTTCTAATCACAGCCAAATACTTGTTCTTTCAAAATTTAATTGAAAGCTAGTTTGATAGACTAACGAGCTAAGCTAAACATGCACTGATCTTAGATTGATAAACACCATCAGATCAAATTTAATTATATAAATAACAGTGCAGCTTACAAATGTTTTTATGTAGATCAAGGTTCGTACCCTATCAGGCTTCCCTGAATCAAGTATTGCCCGGGAAGGCTTCCAGTTGCAGGTGCAAGGTAAGCGATTTTCTTGCTGCGCATCAAACAAGAGTGAAGATTATAGCAGCTCAAGTACAAAAATTGTCTCTCTCACTAATAAAAGAGTTTAAATTCGAACCTTTCAAAGTCAATGATCCAGATGAACCCGGTAACATTACTGGCAAAAAATGGGAAAGGATTATGTGAGAGAGAGAGAGAGAGTTATTCGACAAAACACAGACTCGCCTAATTTGTAATAGGCAGGAAAATTACGTAAATAAGGCCTATAAGAAAACAGTCAATTATGTCACTACAAAAAAAAAAAAGAGCAGTTCAAAATTTGTTGGCACTAAGCAAGCATTTCCTTTTTGGTTTATCACAACAACAAAAAAAACAAATTGAGGTGTGGTTCCACTCTAAGTATTTGAGACGTGCCCTCCAGTGATAACGGAAAAATAAAAGGGCAAAACCATACCCATATGGAATGACAGAATTTAGTCTTCAACACGTCCCCTCTCAAATGCAGACCGAATTCAAGTTTTAGCCTTCAAGTTTTACAGCCACCCATTTATGTTTTTGAACAAGTTAAGCCTTCAATAGAAAATGAATCCGACTTGAACACGAAAAGGCATGTTCAAGACTAATTTAAATATATAAATGGTCCCCTCTCTAACAAGAAGTTGTTAAATGAGGTGGTTCAATAGAATGGGTCATGTGTTGTTTGTCACTAGACAGTGAAAACCAGCTCGTATTTGCCCATTTAAAAAGAGCAACTGACTATACCTTGAAATAATTTCATCTGGTTCCTTGGCTGAGACAGCTAGCGACTGAATGGAGCAAGTCTCGGTGTATATTAACAGGAGTCAATCTTGTAGGGTCTGCAGCAGGCTCTGCACCAATTGGCAGAGCTGAACGTGGGGTCTGTGGTCCGCCGCCTATTCGTAGATGCATAAATCACTGAAATTAGCAACATAAGAATGTGGGGAAAGATCATTCTAAAGGCCACAGAAATACTCCTGCAATGAAAAAGAAAAACACAAAAGAAGACACTTGTTCAAAGGAATATGTTAAAAAGTAGCATACTTCTGTGAAAAAGCATTACGATCATGATATGGACATGTTTGGGTGGGCTTATAAGTTACTTTTTCACTCCATCTCATAAATAACTTATAATCCCCATGCTCTTGGCACGTCAGCCATGTCAGCTGGCCGCATGATTTTAATTTTTTTATTACAACTTAATTTAGTTTTCAGAGGAAATAAAACATATGCTACTACTTATATACAACAATTAACATGTACGGCTAAGCTTAACAAAATTTACTTATCATTTTACTTAGAAGTATACGAGTAAGTTTTAATACAATTAATTCTTTTACTTATCAAAGTTAGGAATAAGTTGCTTATTTTGACGATAAGAGTAACATAAAAGTTACTTTTGAATAACTCCGTTTTTTTACCTTAAAAATGTAAGGAAAAAGTATCTTACCCACTAGATGTCCGAGTTAAAAGGTTAGTTTTTACTTACTTCTAAGCTTAGCTAAACATGCTCACTCAATTATGATTCTATGAAATCTACAAGAGTTTGCATTACCCATATTCTATGGGTCCTCTTCTGTCGGAATTTTGCATTTCTCGACACAACATCACCAGACTTTTGAAGTTTCGCTACATCCACATTAGACTTGTTTTTCAGAACATGTTTTAGCATGCTGCAAAGTTTTCCTGCACAGTTCGTGCATATAAAAACGGCAAGAAGATGCAACATTTCTACTTTTAAAGAGGCACAAAGAATGCAAATAATTAATGCCAATATATTTGAAGCTCGGGTCATCATCCTTAAAAAGGGGGATATAGCGTGGAGGAAATCCAAGTTCCTCGATTTGTAGGAAGGGGAGGGAGAGTTCTATGGTTTCATTACTATCCTCTTACTTTTGTCTCAGAAATTAAATTAAAATGTTAATAAATGCTGTATTTTTCTTCATTTGCTCTATATATAATTTTCTCAGGAAATATGCTTGGCTGCTTGCACAAACCAGAAGTAGAAAGATCTCATTTTTCAAAACTACAGGAGAAAAGGTAGAGACTGTAACTTGCCAAAGAAAATGTGAAAGCAATAATTTGTTTTACATATTCAAATTGTTGAGTGATAAGGGGCACAATCATGGGATGGATGGAAAACCATGTATTGCAGGATTATGCAGAGAGAATTTGGGTTAATAAGGCTATATCTGAAACATCTGTAAATTAACAAAATGGTAGAAACTTACTTAGCAACAGTGAAAGTTATCGATGATATAAAGCAACTAGGAAAATCGAAGTGCATGTTCTTCGGGAAAGTATATTCACAACAAATCATGTTCATAGGTCATTACACCAAAGCATCATAAATGATCTTGGTCCCTCTTTGTGTTTTATGTTTATTGCTTTTTTTTTCTGGGGGTGGGGTTGTGGAAATATAAGGGCCTATCCCTAGTTATTACAATCTAGTATTCTAGGGGTCCTCCTACGTGCATCATTACTTCTACAGAGCAAACGCTGCAAATATCAAAAAATCTTATATATCATATAAAGATATTATCCAGTAGGATGCCTAATTACGTTGGTACAATCATTATTTGATGAACGTATAGGATGCCAGTAAGGCAATAATAAGTCGGTAAGGCAACTATAGTATAATCCAATAATAAGCTATTATTAATAGCAATTAGCATGTAGACAAGAGAGAAACCATGGAAAAAGTAGAATTTGAGGTAAACAGTAAACACATGAGAATCTAGTGAAAAGCTAAGAACTTTGCATACAGAATATAGGTTCATATCAATACAAATGATATTCAGAGTTAATTCTTAGATCTCCAATTCACATATCAGTGTATGTATACCAATGAATACGACATTCATATCTATATTCTGTCTATATATCCTTTCTTAGTTTCTTCCATTCCTGCTAATGTATCAATTATCATTTTCATCATATGCAAGCTCTAAAAATCTCATCTTCAGTCTAACTTATCATTTTTTTATCATATTCAAGTTCTAAAAATCTCATCTTTAGCCAATCAAATCGCAGAAACACTTACATATAAATAAGTAAACTACATCGTCGAAATTCATAATAGGTATACACCCAAACTCTACTAGTAATCACAAATAAAATAATTAAAAGAAACTCTGAACCCACAAAGAACTTTACATTTGCACCTGAAACCCCCCACCCCCACAACTAACAAAAAAACACCTGAATTCCTTGAGGATAGACCTTATCAGGCGCCAGCAGTGAAGCCATCGATTGGAAATTAGGGTACTTGAGGGAAAATTAGGTTCAATTGGGAATTAGGGATTGGGAATTTTGGGGGAATTAAGCCCCGCAGTTTTAGGCGGGATTGGGTACTGGGTTATTTTTTAAAGGAAAAATGTTAAATACGTGCCATTTCACAAAAATAAGAAAACAAGTTTTCAATTTCAAAAATCGGATTGTTTTTTTATTTTTATTTATGAATTAATAAATTTATTAAATATTTAATTCTAATATAATATAATTAATCCACCCCACCTCCACCTCCACCACCCCTATTGCTTCGGGGACTATTCCGACAACCGTTCCGACCACCAATCTTCTCCAGCGATCGTTCCGACAACTATTCCGGTGACCGTCACAGATTTATATAATATGATCACAGATTCACAATTTAGTTAGTCACATATTATTTTTCGGTCACAAATCATAATTTTTTACTTCACAAATTATTTTACGATCACAGCTCAAAAATTTTATAGGTTACAATTTGTTTATCGGTCACGGATCAAAATTTTTGTAGGTCACAAATTATTTCGAAATCACAAATCAAAAATTTTTATCGGTCACAAATCATAAATATTACAAATCACAACTTATTAGACAGTCACAATTTATCAAATTATCGATTTTAAATTAACAATTTTTCAGGTCACATTATTTTTTTGTCGCAATTTATTTCCTAATCACAAATTAAGAATTTTAAGGTCATTTCTTGATCACGAATCAAAACTTTTATTAGTCCCATCTCGATTACAATTTAATAAATTAAGTCGCAAATCACAATTTTTAGGTCACATATTATTTATTAGATCAAAACCACCACACCACAATATCATCACCACGCACAGCACCACCGCCACGCACCACCATCGCACCCACAATATCACAAAACTCACCCAACCACTGCACAATCGCCACAGCATCACAGTAGTACGCCAACTCCAACCCCATCTTACCATCACAACGCCATCAGATTCTGCCCAACCCCCATCATTTACGGTCAAATCGTCACTGTCGCACCCACAGCATCACAGAACTCACCAAACCATTGCACAGCCGCCAAATCCATAGCATCACGTTACAACGAAATCATTCTCATTGTTTTAATAAATCTGGCATTTGTCTACATTTACAACGAAATCATCATTTCTTGGGCGAAGACGACAGCGGCGACGACGGAGACGGGTTGTGTAATGAGACAGGAGAGTGTGAATAATGGAAGTGAACTGTTGTGTAGAGAGAGAATGGATGGAGGGAGGAGACGGGTTGTGGGAGAAATGTAGAGAGAGATGAGAGTGGGAATTAATTAGGGTTTGGAGTATATATATTTAGTAAAAATATTTATTTTATAAAAATATTAATTAAAATAAGACATATGATTTTTGAAAGGTTAAACTTTCCACCTGATTTTAGAATGTTGAATACTTAAAGTAGGTATTAGCGTAATTTCCACTTTTTTAAATGGGCGGCTATGGATTTTAGAGTCTTACTGGAGGCTTGGGCTTGGGCGAGTTAGTGGTTTGAGTTAATTTCGAAATTAGTTTCCAGCTGTGGCTATTTTTAAAATGAACAATGCTATTTTTACATGAGAAAAATTATATAATGATTTAAGTACAAATGAGGTGTTAAAAGAGTGTGAAACAGTTCCTTTTTTTTTTTTTNTAGAAATTTTCTGCCCGTTATTTTCCACAAACATGGCCCACCATCACACAAAGGCAGTCAACAATTGTAGGCTGCTTTACCTCCAACGGTATTAATATTTCTACTAATGAGAAAATAATGCAGAACAAACAGGCGCATAGTACAACCGTTTTAAAATAGTCTTAGCGTATTAACTACTACTATCGATGTCATGACCAGTTGACCACCCCAACCTCCTCAAATCGCCTTTTTACCAAAAATCACCAATAATCAACAAGTGAAATAAAAAACCACCACCACAAATCATCGTTTCAGAAATAAAAATTAAAATGAAGAAATCACCATTTCAAACCACCACCGTGAATCCTATAAAAATTAATGAAAACTGTTCAATGCCCGAAGAGGGACGAGAGAAGGTCCTGAAAAAGTTTCATCAAACGCGAACGAATAATAAATGTTCTGGTTTTGAAATGTACCTACATTCCAAATTAATAAGTTGTCTGGTATAAATTTTTAGCACAAATTCTACAGTTGAGCCGCAAATCTTGACCTTAGTTGTGAGATGTGGGCCCCGCAAATTTGAGTAAAAACAGTACAAAAATTGATTATAAGGTGAAAAAAATCTTTTAGCAGACAGGCTGTAAATGTATTCTGGCTCTATAAATTGGGTGATTACTCTGAAACAAAAAATATGAGTCGAGGGATCAAGTTGAGACAAATTAAAGTTCAACTACCAACATGAAACTAATCTACAAGTTTGTTGACCTCGGGTAAAATTTTTCCATGGATAGTTAGTCGAAAAAAATTTAATATCTGAAAATTCATAAAATTAGAAAGATTACAGATTTCAAATGAAATAACTAATTAAACGGTTTCACATAAGGGTTTAGGTGGAATTTGAGACTATGCTTCGTAGCCTCAGCTTTTGGCATTGCAGCCCTCAATTTAAGCAATCTGTTTCGGAAACCAAACGAGGAGAAAAAAACCATAAACCACATGCTTTCTAATTTTCGTCATCTTCAACGTCGACAATATGAATCATTTTTCACGATTATGTTCGACCGACAGCTACATGTACCACCATTCCCTCTAGCAAATCAACCAAAAACAACCTTGTCTTGCTCAAATTTGATTCTTGAAATAAGGTAAAGAGATAGAGAGACTAAAAAGTTCTCCAGGCATCCAAGAATAGTCGAAGACATATCCAATCTAAAAAAGACACGGAATTGAAAATAAGTTGTCAGGCGTTCTTGTGATTTCTTCATTATTTTCTCAGCCATGGGAAGAAAATTTCCTATAGCCGAGAGCCCTTCGAATAATCATCATCTTATCTCATTTTCATTGCTCATAGTATGCATTGCTGCAACAATGGCTGTAATTTCATTTCTATGTGGTTCTTTATCACGTAAAAAAAAGCCTCACCCATCAGAAGTTGACAATGCAAAAACAGAAAATTCCCAGCTAGACATTTTATCAAACAGAAAAGATGCATCCCACAAACCACCGGGTGAAGTTGAAATTTCAGAGGTGTCGCAACCCCAGGATGATGAACAGCAGCGGCCATTGCCGCCACCACCATTCATGCAACACAAAAGGGCCGCCTCGTACCACCACAGATCGAATTCCACCGCCTCATCACACGGCAAATTATCATCAAGCATGAGCATGAGCGTGCTCGGAAATGCGATTTCATCGCGGAAGGAGGAGAAAAAAGAAAAGACATTAAAGCATGAAGATTCAGTTTGGAAGAAAACAATAATTTTAGGAGAAAAATGTAGGGTTCCACAAGAAGATGATGACACAATTCTTTATGATGAAAAGGGGAAT